TCTCCCCCTGAGCCAGACCCAGTACACGGGGGGAGGAAAAGCCACTGATCTGAGTGGAGGAACTTGGGATAGTTTTGTATTTAAAATGCAAGAACATTGTTGCAATAACAAGTCACTGTTTTATTGCAGAGTTGCAGGTTTAGATCTGCTTATGTGTGGTCAGATGGCTGAAGGTAGTGGCTGACTCCTCGGGTGTCAGAGAAGTTTTGTGTAGCTATTATAGAATTAAAGAATAGTTGAGGTTGGAAGATGCCTTTGGATATCATGTAGTCCACCCCCATGCTCAAGGCAGGGTCGACTAGAGCGGGTTGCTCAGCACTGTGCCCAGCCAGGTTTTGAGTATCTTGAAGGATGGGAGACCTCACGCCCTCTCTGAGCAACCTGTTCTGGTGTTTGACCAACCTCATAGCAAAAGAAAAATATTTTTTTCTTGTGTTTAAGTGGAATCTTCTGTATTTCAGTTTGTGCCCATTGCCTCTTGTCCTGTCTCTGGGCTCCCTTGAGCAGAGTCTGGCTGTTGTCTTTCTCCCCCTCATCAAGTTTTATACACATTAATAAGACCTTTTTGAGCTTTCTCTTCTCCAGGCTGAATAGTCCCAGCTCTCTCAGCCTCTCCTCCTAGGCCAGCTGCTTCAGACCCTTTATCATCTTTGTGGCCCTTTGCTGCACTCCCTCCAGCATGTCCACATCTCTCTGGCCCCAGGGAGCCCAGAGCTGGGCACAGCGCTCCAGGGGTGTCCCACCAGCGAGGAGTAGAGGGCTGAGTGTCCCAGCTGCCTGCAGTGTGCTGGCTGTTACGGGCTGCCCTGGGATTAGTGCAGCTTCAGTAATTAAAGCTGCAGTTGAAGTTTTCATACTAGACTTTTTGCATGATGGAAAAATCAGTTCAAGTTCAGGACACAGGAAGCAACTGTGGTTGCCTGAAATCCATCTACCTGTAGAATTGGTTTGTTTTAGTACAGGATATGTTGCATGGCTTTGTCTTGTGGCTTTGAATCTTGCATACATCCTCAGGATTGATTTTGCTCTGTTGGGTTTATTTTAGTGTAACTGTATTGACTTTGGGAGAATCCTGGTTTCCACTAGGGTAAGTGGCAGCTCTGAATAGTAGATGGAGAGATTGTACCACACTAGCACGCAATGATGGCAACACCGCGCTGCATTTTTACAGGGACAGGTCATGTGCTTTGGGAGTACCATTGAGGAAACACATGGATTGCTTTCTAACTGGGAATAGCATTGAGGAAACACATGGATTGCTTTCTAAATTGTGTGGTGGTGACAGATCTTTGCTTAATATCCACAAAACTTCTGCAGCCAGCACCTTTTTCTAAGGGTGTTTCCTTTCCTGTGCTTGTGGGCTTGTGTATATTATGCTATGTCGCTATTTGGAATTATCTTCAAACAAATGGGAGGCAGCAGAAGTCTTGGGATGTGGGACTCAGCCTTCTTGATTAGAAACTGAATGCACATGGACAATCTCCATTTGGAAGATCACACATCCCCAGGAATTCTTCTTTTGTATTCCTCACTTTAAAAGGAAAATGAAATGTGTTTTTTTTTTTTTCTGAATATTTTGCATTCTTGTTTAGGAAAAAAAAGTATCTGAAAAGGTGACTGACTTAAGTTTACCTTCAGGCACAACACTGAATGCCCCAAAATGAAAGCAGTTAACAAGGAATTTCATACTATTGTACTATCTTGCAGAGACAGCGAGAGAAACTATTCTGTATCACTATCAGTTTGAAAGAGTAAACTAGCTTGCATGGTGCTCTGTGCTGTTTCAAATCAGATTACTTGCAAAAGAATTCTCTTTTGCAGCCGACAGGCTCAGATTTTGCACATTGTATTCCACAGGCTGATATGAATGAAGTATTAATCTTCTTTTGCTTTTCAGTGGGAAGTTAAAAACAAAAAAAATCACACCCTCTGTAACTGACAGATTTGAGTCACATTATGTATTGTATATTTTATGGTGCATACTAATATGAACATATTTGTCGGGCAAAAAGAAATGATGCAGTTGCTAACTCCCTTAACTGTGGGAGTCCCCTGAGCAAGCAGCAACCTCTTTATGATTTATTAGTGGGCTGACAAACACTTCAATGCACTAAAACGCTTTGATTATTCCTATATTCATAATAATTGGTATGGTTTGTGGTATCATTTATCAGCTTCTCTTTCAGAATGTTTCTTAAAATATGCTGGTAGAAGCAATTCTTGACGTAAGGCTTGGTTCTGAGTACTATGCAGAGTTCAAGTATCCCTTTGTATGTGGGTAAATACAGGTATGTGGAAAGCTGACACCCATTGCTTTCTGGAGTACTTCACACTTAGCGCTGCAGAAGTCCTGCTTTTCGTGGGAAACCTTTTACTGTTTCCCTTACGTTTTGCATGACAGTTCATCAGTGTTTTGTAAGAAAGGTCAGAAATTCTGTGCAGTAATTAAAATACTATCTTGTGCTTTTTACTTCTGCAGTCTGGCCATTTGTGAAGCCTGCATGGTAGACTTCCCGCTGATACTACTTTTGGTTTTGTAATTGGTTTTCTATTTTCACTCTAAGTACAGATGGGAGGACAAAATAAAAATGAGACATTTCTATTAGAAAGCAAAGGAGGTGAAACAAGTGATCCTAACAGGGTACAGAGTACACGCTGTAGTTCACTTAAAATATTGTGGCTGCTAAGGTTTCATTCTTGTCTCTGCCCGAGTTAATAAAACTGAAACTAGTTATAGGTATGCCTAACTGTAAGTGTCAGTGCAGACCTTTACAGTGCACCCTTCTGCCATCTGTTCTGCATAGAAGTGTTTGGTGAAGTGCTGTACAAATAGCGTTTTGTGAAGAGTATCGACTTCCCTCCCCCTAACTTTTCTTTTTCCTGAAGTGTACCTTTTTGTTAGAAAAAAATTTCAGATGTTTGTTCCAAAAAGTGTATTTAATGGATAAAAACTTCCCTCCTTCTCTCTTTTCCGACTCCTATGTGATGAAGCAGCAGGCAACGTGAACCTGTTCTGTTATGAAGTCAGTTCTTCTACAGACATGAAATATTATTTTTTTTTTTTTTTAACTCACTGAAAGTGAATGTCTGTTAATTACCTGAAAATGTTTTTACAGAATGTGTCTGGTTGACAGAAAACAGCTTAAAAAAAAAAGAAGAGATTGCATACATTAAAGCTTTTTCTTGCTACAGAAAGAGTGGTAACATGATTCTGCATCTTTTTGCCCATCTTTCTGCCTTTGCAGCGTACCTCTTGTTGATTTGCTAGACAGCACGGAGTTGCCAGAAACTTGTGTTGATGATGCTGTAGGCCGTCCGGTTGTTGGCTTGGCAACAGGAGATTCAGAAGACGCTGTTAGTTGTCCTCATCCTGGCACAAAGGAAACTGCTGCTGAAAAAGCAGATTCTGATCGTAAGCAAATTTACAGATTTTTCCTTATTATTGGAAATTGGGGAATTGGGTGAGTGGGTGTGTGGTTTGGCCCCCCAGCCAAGGGCAAACCCATCACAATGACAGTGCATTTAGGAGTTCAGATTAAGTCCTGCACCAGAATGTTAACAGACTGTTTTCAAGGAGAGCCTGTTTCACAGTCTTTTCCTCTGTGAGATTTCTAATATTGCTGTCAGTCTATCTACTGAAATATCCTTAACACTGTTTTCCATAGCTGCCTTTTTCTGATTTTACTCTATTACAGTAATTTGCTACATTTTTTTAAAAAACTGTATAAGACATCATCATGACTTTAAGTCATGGGACAACAAAGTCAGTGAGCTCTCCCTGTTTCTGCCTGAAACAGCTTATTTCTAAGGACAAAGGTACAAGGGAAAAGTCACAGTTCTTTGTGGGATCTTACTTTAGCCACAGATACAGTGAAGTGCAGCTATGAGCAATTAACTCTTGCTGCGAGTATACAGTCTGTAGGCATGAAAGCTGCACAGAAGGTTGAGCAAGTAGCTTCCCCCAATCCCTGTGCTTTTTTTTTTTTTCCTAGAACTTTGAAAACCTTGAAATTAGCATTCAGGAAGAATGCAAGTTACAAGTCAAATAACTCCTCTGTGACATTAGCAAGATGATATCTTTTCTGTCTTTTTCAGCATTTGAAGACACATTCCTAAAACTCAAACAGCTGGAGACCGGGCACGGCAACCCAGTGCCAACTGAGCGTCCCAACGTAAACATAAACATACAGGTACTTGGACTTAATTCCTCTGGGCAGAGTGGCTGAGTGGTGTTCAGATCATTCTGAAAAGCTTTCTGCTTACCTTGGTCCGTTTGGAAGATTTTTAAGAATATGAGTGAGTAATATTGAAGGAAGGAAATGCAAATGCTTTGTTATATATAAACCTGTGTGTGACAGGGGAGTGAGTTGAAGACGGGGGCAGAGGTGCATGTGCGCGTATGCAGACTGCAGCCTCACGAAATGTTCTAAAATCAGTGGAAGTAAAAGACACAAATGCTTGAAATGTCCCTCAGTTGTCTTTATGCATAAGTTACTAACTGTATGGTGTTGTATAGTTCACCCTCTTTTTTGAGGGGCTGAGCTGCCTTCCTGGTGTTTTTCAGTTGCCTTTGGTAACCCTCCCAGAACATTGTTTTCATGTTTTGTTTAGAGACAAGTTTGCCAGTGATCCATCCTTCCTGTTAAGTAACCAGTTTGCACCTGCTCTCTGAGCACTAACACTGTGTGTTTACATCGAGAGGAGCAATGTGGTTTGATTTAGTGCTCTCATAAATCCTTTTGTGCAAATCAGGGTGCGTTTCCATGGGCAGCTGAACCAAAGTATGAGGTTCAGTGCTCCGAACAGGGCAAGGGCTGTCTTCTCCCTCACTTCTCCCTGCTCTTCCTTTTCTCCTCTGTCGCCTCCAGGAATCATTGAATGTTTCAGTGAACCATTGTAGCCTACAAAATGGCAAAAAAGTTTTTGCCTTTTTTGTTTTGAACTTTTTTTAAGGTGTTGGTTTTTTGGGGTTTTGTTTTGTTTTTAAGTTGTTAAATAGTGAGTTAAATAGGTTCGTGGAGGGGGTCAAAGAAATGCCAGAGCCATAGTGAAAATAAGTAGTCTTCCTAAAAGGGGTGGAGAGGACAGGATCCTCCCTTGCAACAGCAGTGAGCTTTCATAGATTCACCGGTTATCAGGCAATTACACCCATGCAGGCGATTATTTTTTTTAATGAGTTTTTAAAAAATTGGGATTTATATTTCCCTCCAGGTTTGCCCATAAATAAATCATATGTTTAGAAAGTTTAAAACAAACAAAAAACACAAAACTGAAAAAACCCTCAAAAAACTTACTGTGCTTTCCCTGTGTTAAAGCTTTAGGTGCTTGTTTGCATTTTGAACAAGCAGAGAATGAAACACCTGGCAGTCTTATCTCTGTACTACCCTCCCTTGCAGGGAGGCCTGAGGATTTGTCTAACTTTCGGTGAAGCAACTATGATTTTTCTTGCTCCCTTGACAGTAGAATGAACCAGGTGCCAAGAGAGGTGTGTTGTCCAAGCAGTATGTGTTTGAACTAAGCCCGTTCCTGAGCATTCCTTCTACCCCTCCATGTGAGAGGAGGCTACTGCTGTGGTATGCTTGGTGCTGCAGGCTGTTTTGCTCATGTCTCCTTTAAGGTCTGTTCTCCTGGATGCCTTGTGCCCCTTTCTGCTTGGTGAGTGCATTACAAAGATTACCAAGTCTCTAAGAAGATTATTCTGTAGCCTATAGGTCCTGATGTGCTGAAGCACTGCCTCTGCATAAACTAAAGCAAATGAACACAGTTTATTTCAGAATATTTTTGCCTGTTGAGCTTTGTTCTTGTTCAGATAGAGAGGGAAAAAACATTTAATTGGTTAAGTGGAGACAACAGAGCAAAAGCGCCTTAGTGGTTTTTAAATCATGGCTGATAGATAGTAAGCAAGATAAGATTCCGGTAACGAGCTAATCTAACAAACAGCTGCCAATACAGTACAGTCACAGTGATCCAGCTGCTGTTGTGTGAGGTGCTGAATAACTTTGGATATTAGAGGTTACAGATACTGGGGTGATAGTTACCTGATCAGAGAGCAAGAACATTTGCATAACTGAGAAACAGGTGATGTTTGGATCGACAGTGTGCCAATATGATTCTTTCTTTGGGTAAAAGAGATTTCAGCACTCAAGAAGGAAGTGCAAATTGTGTTATGAATACGTAAGGGTAGATCATCAGTGGTTTTCCTTGGGTAGAGAAGATTGAATAAACCTTTTCAGCCTATGATGTAGCTTACCAAGAGATCACCTGAGAGTGTTTGTTTAAAAATGTAGACAAAGATTAGAGACTGTCTGTGTATACTTTATGTCTTTGCCATTTGAAGCATACAGAGTTTATAGGTTACAGTAACACCACATGAGCACCCCCAGTTGTGATTAGAGATGAGATTAATGGTTTTGGAAATGAGTCCTGAAAAGAGGGACCTAAGAATAAATATTAAAAACACTTTGTTTCCTGCTTTTGAAGGCTGCTTTAGAAAAAATATAAATTTCCACTTACGGCATTGGTTTCAAAATGTGCCTGTTGACTCTCCTCCTGCACCTAGTTCTGCCCTTAATCTACTCATAAAAGAGGTGTTCATGGCATCTTCTTCTCACTAAATTGAATGGGACTACAATATATCCACTAAAACCTTGCAGTGAGCTTAGATCCTGGAACATGCTGTTACTTCAGGTGAACGCAGTGTTAACAGTGTTCTCTCTAAGTATTTGAGTACCAATTCTAACATGTCTCATCTTCCTTAAATTTTACAGCTACAGCACATAAAAGGTTTGGTAAAATGCATAAGGGGGGGAAGCATTAGCTTTCTGCTTATGAAGGCAGAGCTGCATCCTGAACTTCCTAAGTGACACTGTCAAATGCCAGTGAGCTGCTTACTTCAGCTTTGTTAATTAAAAATCTTTAACTGTTTTCCATCAGGGGTCAGAGATGGCCAGCCAGCATCATCTTTACATAATTCTATACTTCCAATCAATCAATCAATCTTGATTGATTTCTTTGATAGGGAAATATTTATCTAGCTAACTGTGTTCTTTTAGAGAAAAAGAGAAGTCTTTCTAGAATGACAAATGGGAAGGGGGGAATGAATGGCTTCATTCTTCACAGCTGCTCCCTGCCAAAATCTGCTGGGATGGAAGAATGCGATTTTGTCCTTTCCCAGCTTTCACTAGCGCAGTGACCAGATCTGACAAAAGAGAGCAAATAGATCTTAAATACACCGACACTCCGCTTTCATCAGCTTCTGAAGTGAAATGAACAATAAAAAGTTCACCCTGTTTGCCTAAGTTAGGAGTCTGCTCCAGAGTCAGAAATGCAAGGACATGAGGGTTTTCTTTTTCTGAATTCATTGTGATCTGTAAACACGTGGAGGTTGCTCCAAAATGTGTTTGTATTAGACTCAATCTCTCTGCACAGAGTTATTTTCAGTGGCACCGTGAACACTGCTCAAAAGCAGAAAGGTTTGGGATCACGTGTCCTGCTGCTGCCTTTAATCTTTTTGTCCTTTTTTACATTGCTACCTAGCTCTATATTTGATAGAAGAATAAAGGACAAATGTGGTTTGGCTAGTACATAGAAACAATTAAAATTTGTAAGGAGCTAGAATATTGACAAACCCCAGTAGCTTTACTGTTTTATGTGAACAACTAAATGTCTTGTAAATTAGACATCTTGAGGAGTTATCAGGTGCCAAATGCTTTCCCCTCTAGCTATATGCTCTTTTCATTAAAAAAAAAAACAAACCCACTTGTAAAACACCAATGCGTTTTTCAAGCACAAAATAGAAATTATTGAGAAAAAATTATCTTTAATACTGATGGAAATATTTCCTTGGTGGTATAGAACTTATACTTGATTACATCAAAATACTTCTTAATAGTACTAAACTTTTAAAAAGTTGGGAATCTAATTGCTAGCAGATTAGAGTGACTGGATTAAACTGGTTGTTCAGGTGGAGGAAGCTGAGAGAAAGTTAAACCACAAAATGGTGCCTAAAGCACCAGTGTACTGATGTGCTCTGTTAAAATAATCAAATTTACTGTATCACTGGTACTGGAGTAATGCATTAGAAATTCTGTGCAGAGACTTATATACAGCATCCGTTCAGTGAGGTCCAGTGTAGGATAAGGATTATCATGGCTGGATACTGTGACCATCCAAATAATAGTAATAACAGCAATGATGTTTTAATTCCAGAATTCTGGCAATTCCAGCAGCCTCTCTAAAATAAAAACACTTAAATGTTTAATAATGAATGGTTTTGTTAGTCTTAATGAATTATGTGAATGTGCGTCTCTCAGTATCTGCTAGCAATAGTCATTAGTAACGCTGGTTGTTGTTCCTCATACCTTTTTATGTTGGCAGTGATCCATTAAGATTTTGCAAATGTCTGTGTTCAGTGCTGACTGGGGTAAAAATTTTAAAATGAGTTCTCATTTAGATAGTCTTATAAGTTCCTATTTGGATACCCCAAAAAGTGACTTAGAGGAAGAGAAGAGGAGAAGTTTTTGCTCTCCCTAAAGGCCAGATACCTAGAAGTTCTCACTCGTATTTCCAGTGAACAAATTCTATGAACAAAGAAAAGCTAGAAGTGGATTGAGAGCTGTGTGGGGGACAAGTGTTCACCTTTTTAAAACTTCTCTCCTGTGTCCATGCAATGAGCTTCATTTCTTCTGGACCTGCTGGAGTCGTGCACGTAGGAGTGCAGCAGGATTGCGCCTGCTCCGGGGCGTGTTGAAAAATCCAGGAAAGAGCCGGCCTTAGCCAGGGAAGGTGGCATATGGTGAGGAAAGCAGGACTCTGTCTCCCCCTGCTGAGTCATACCCCCAGAAGAAAGGTCACAAGGTTTAGTTTCCACTCAGTTAATTAACTTCTGTCACTAATCAAATAGCAATTAGTAGGTTGAATGCTTAATTAACATTTTATAATTAAGAAATGCAATTCACATAATGAAATATACTGTGGTTGAAAAGGTATCTCATTTTAAATCATCTTCATGATGTGTCTGGCTGCCAGTTTGCTCTGCTGTAATAAGTTATGGGAGAGGTAGCTAATAACACATTAAACTGTTGTTCTAGTTTATAAGTGGATTTTAAGGTAAAAATATTCCCAACTTGCATTTGAGAGTAAATTATCCACTTATAGTTAGGCTGTACTGATATTATATAATATGATGGCCGCTATTTTGATCTTCTGTCAGTAAACTAATCTGCAAATTTATGGTCCACTGCTGTTCAGTTCTTGCACACTGTATTTTCAGCACAGCACTTTACATCTCCACTTCTAAGCATTGTGCTTTTTTTTAACTTTATGTTTTGCTGTGACTTCACAACTGAGTTCCAAAAGAAAGGAAAAAATTGCTTTTTCATTTCAGTATAAATCTGCTGACTTTCCTCTTACTCAGAGCCTTGTTTGTATTTAATAGATGTTTGTGAACTTCAGCCCAGACTTTTCCATGTGGGAACTGCTTCTAATAAAGATTTTTTCATGTCTAGGAAGTGATGAAGTTGACAGATAAATGTCTTAACAATGCCGTTGAGAGCCCAATCACAGCAGCAACCTGGCTTCCAGCAGATATCAAAAGCAATATCCTGAAGGCGCAGGCAGAAGCAGGGCACAAGGTAAATACTCAACTGATAAGGACATTGACATTCTCAAATGTTTTATTTTTCTTCAGTTGCCTGGTGTTGGAGAAGGTGCCTTGCACATAACGGTGCTCCAAGAGCCAAAGTCCAAGGCAGAATAAGAGGGCCTTTCAGCCTTTCTTCGCAATAACAGTGATCCAGTACTGGAGTGGTTGCCCAAGGGAGAATCTTCATCCTTGGTGATACTCAATGTGTAACTGGACAAGACCCTGAACAAGCCCTGGTTTGAGTGGTGATTGACCCAGATAACCTCCAAAGGTTGTCTTTTAACCAAGAAATTATTCTGTGATTCTGTGACTAAGACCACGTTTCTAGCATGTTCTAGTAAATTCAGTAGCAGATAATAGTGTTTTATTTGGCTATGCTGGTGAATTATTTTTATTTCTGCACTGAAGTTTTCACATAGAATTGATGTTTTAAGTCCCTGAGCAGGTGATGATCAGCACGCTTTCATGCTGGGAGGGAGGCGCTCAGTTCTTCTGTGAATCTCAGAACTGACACAAGATGGAAACGGGTATCAGAAAGTTGTATCTTTGTTCTTTTTTTCCACTTAGGTCGTAAGAGAAGATGGCCTGACAGATGTCAAGAATTCAAATATTCAGGATGCTGCTGCGAGGTACTGAATAGATTTGGAAGAAATGCCTGATCTAGTTACCCAAGTACAGCACTGAGAACCTCCAGTTCATTGCATTTTACGTTGTCATAGTGTAGCTTAACCTGCTGAGTGTGAAGCATTTTCAAAAAGAAAACCAGCAAGCACTATAGTTGCTAAGTTTTATTATATACAAGGTAATCCAGTTACTCTTTATTCTCCCATATTTTGATAAACATTGTTCTGACAGCAGCTTCGATCGCTATAGTTATTTCTGACCTGTGAACAACTTCAGTGTGGGAAGAGGGGGTGGATCTGTTTTACAGCAGCTGTTCCTGGTGGATAAAAAAATTTGTGTACAAAAACCTGACACTGACAGTTGATTTCCTGAGACTTACTGAGTCTCAAATGATTGCTGGTTCCAGCGGGATTTCAGGCCTTGGAAAAGTTAAAGGGTTACAACATGTGATTTATTGACCATTTATGAAGATGTGTCAGACCTCAAAGATCACATGGGGATATCGAATAAAATGTACATCTAGCCATCTCAAAAATGTGCTGTAACACGATTCATGAAGAGCTTTCCCTGGAAGTTTGTACCTGTTTTTTGTTTTATTTTGGTTTTTTTTGTTTTCTGCCAGGAACATTCTCCTGTCAAGCAAAATACAGAGTAGTCCCCCAGCAACCAGTCCAGTATTTCAAGACCCAAGAGAGCTGCTGAAAGCAATCCCTGCCTCAAACACCTTAATTCCGTAAGTGATTCAGGAGAAATGTGTTTCTGGGCTAAGGGAATCGTGGGGAGATGATTATCAACTGGTCTGAAAAGATGAGGAATAGTCGCTGGACAGTTAGGCTGGGTCTAACTGAGCAGGTCAACCAATGCTTCTTCAATTAGTGTTGCAACAGTTAATCAGCGTAGGCCAGGCCTCAGGGTGAGTATCCTAGCAAGCAGTAAGCAAATCTCTCTCATCACCAAAATACCGAAATATCGGAGGTCCTGCTGCCCCTGCCTCTAAAAAGGAAGGTAAAAGGATGGAAGGGAAGGCTTTAGGCAGTTAGAAACAAAGGCTGAAGAAGCTCCTTAGAGATTGAAGACATTGATACTGTTGGGTTTATACGCAGCTGGAGCTGAAACTATGAAAGAGATCAGCAATCTGCCAGGGTAGCTGGAAGGCATTTACTTCAAGGTACTGACAAACATCGGTGTTCCGGGTTGAGCTATCAGGGAAGCAGCACTGTGTTTCACGCTATCCTATCCAGGCCGTGTGCTGATGAGAATGTGTTCTCCTTTCAGTAGTGCGTTAAATGAGGACAATGCTGCCTCTGACCACGAAGAGCTGCTGATTCCAGCTAGTCTGGCTCCAGCTGAGGAGGCTGCTATTTCAAAGGTATCACCACCTGCCAGCCTGGAAGGCTTCTGTGTGTCAGGTTCTGAGCTACTGGTGCCTCCGGGCAAGCACAGCAGACCTTGCTGCATGCCTCTCATAACTCAATGAATACTAAGCGTGTGTGAATGCCAAAGAGTGCTTTCTGGAGCAGACAGGGACACTGTACAGGTCTCTCCAGAGGCCATTTCTGAGTGCACTTTCAGGTTCTTTGCCTGGCACTTAATTTTCTAGGCCGGTTGATCGTTTTCCTCACACTGGTGGGGAGCCCCTAATATCCCAATGATTTGATGTGCCAGGGAAGAGACTGCAGAGATTAAATTCTGACGTAGGCAATTCTTATCAAAATAACCACTAAGGGAAAAGTTTGAATTGAAATGTTTAATTGTTGTATTCTGGTGACCTTTATGATAAGGTAATTTTTAGCTGGACTCCATTAAATGCACATAGCAGTTGCTGCAAAGCATTCAGAGCTCAACTTCCCTTTGTCCCTCTCTAAAAGAAAAGATGAGTCCAACGTTGGACTCCGCTGTTATTTCAGCAGACTGAGGAGTTATTCTGGATCACTAAAACAACGTGCCCTTTAGCTGTTGTCCCTCTAAACCAGTATTATGTAGTTGATCCCACTGAATAATTATCAGTTTCGTCTTCTGAGTTCAAACACTTAGCTTGCAGACCTTGCTGACCTTCTTGTTGAGTGGCACATTACCCCATCCTTGCACAGGAGAATGGGGCAGTTTTGCAGCTTATGTGGCAACGACATTGTTTCCAGCACATAGATGAGAAAAGTGAAATGAAAATACTATTAATAAAGATCATATGGAAAGATTTGAGAAAACAGGTCTGATAAATGGCTGTGTTCATTAACAACACTGGTCTGTTACTCAGGAAGCTGCTAGAGATTCAGCAGACCTATCTGTTTACTACTGGGAATTCAATTCAAAACTGATTTATTCCTTAGAGCACTCCAGATGACCAGGACGTTTCCTTAACATCACTGACAGAGAACCTAATTGACTTTACAGAAGCCACGCCTCGGGTAAATGTATTTCAAAACCAAACTTCTTCCTTCACACATACAATGGTTTTTACTTATAAATTCTCGTCTGGCTTTAGTATCTGACCACCAGGCTTGAATCTTCTGCAGCAGAGTGAAGTGGGTTCTGCATGGATGGGTCACTGCATGGATGCCGCCCTCCTTGTGGGGTGGCTGGCGTAGGGATGGAGACCCTACAACTTTGTAGTGGGAGGGAAACAACCTGAATCTCATTCAAGAGTTAACTTATATCTGTCCTACAAGAGCCTTTAGTCTTCTTTCAGTGCACCTGCAAGCGCCAGCCTGCTTCTTGGGCTTTTGGGTGTAAACAATACTTCAAAAATTGTATATAAGTGTGTCTGTGTGTGTATATGTACATGCATATATACAGAGAGGTTAAAAAAAAAACCTAGAAAAATAAACTTTTAATACAAATCAATCTTTTTATATAGATAAAAATGTCTTATACTGTGCCAGGGAAAAAGGAGTTACATTGCATGCACCAAAGCAAAGGGGAAGGAGTAGGACCTTGAAACTGTTTGCAGAAGTGTCCTCTTGGTTAACTTTGTCCACTGAGCAGAAAAAGGGGGAGGGAGCGCTGTGCTGAAACTGTTGCCAGTGAGTTTCTGTGAGTGCAAGTATTAGCTGTGTGCTCTGTGGGTGCCATTTACCTTTTTGGGTATAAAGTCACATCACCTGTAGATAATCACTAGCATGGTTCAAGTCTTAGCAATGGGCAAATATTTGGGAATGTTTTGGGAGGCAATATTGTTTGAGAATGTTCTCGGCTAGTTCCAGCCTTTTCTAATGAGCATTTGTTTGCTTTTTGTAGGTGTCTTCCCAGCCCACAATAACACCGAGATGGCTAGTGCCAGTGAGTTATCCAGTCATCCCTTAACAATTTGAGATGGAGCGTTTAAAGACAGCTTTTGTCATTATTAAGAAACAGTAGCTCAAGTAAATAGTAAAATATAGTAATTTGTGATAATTTGAAAGCCCATAAAATACTGTACCAGGCCAAAACTAAAACAAACTAATTCAGCTGGAGTAAATCAAACAAAATACATATCCTGTTAATATTTAAACTTCATTTTTGCTGCGTTACATTGCAAGTAAATGCCATGAAGTGTCTTTAAGAACTTACATTTAGTGAAGCCCACTCTGGAACTTGATGAACCTCAGTTTTTACTATTAAAATAAACTATATTGAAAAATCAGCTTGTCTTGTCCTGGCAGGTTTTTATTTCAGTTTTCTGTTTCATTCCAATTCAGACTGGACTGCTTTCCAATGGGCCTTTGGGAAATGATGTTGCCTTAGCTATGAAGGCAGTAAAAGGCAGCACGGAGACACTGTTATCATCAGCTGGACTGCCGCCATCCCAGCAGGCATCCGAAGTCCTTGCAAGGTAAGGTCTCCTCAGCACTCGCTTCAGACGTCTGTATGGGGTGGAATGGAAATATGTGCTCTTACTACTTCCACATACATAGTTACAGTGGTCGTTTAGACACAGTGCCTTGTTTTGCTGTGCTTATAAACTACAGTTCTGTCTCACTTTATAGCATTTGAAATCTTAAATAGAGCAACTGATGAGTGTATATTTTTATATAACATTGTTCGAAGGGTAAGAAAACTTTTTTTAAAGTAAGTACAGGAACAAAGCATACAAATTTAGCTGGAGCTGGAGGTAAACCTGTTGTCATTATAAGTGCCATACAAGTGAGTAATTCTTTTTAATTCACATCACTTCAGTTTATTTCCTTATCTGCTAACACCTTTTAGTACTGGACTAAAATTATGGTACAGGTTCATTTTCTGAGAAATCTCTTTATAGTGTTTCAGTATCTGTCAGAGGATTGGGGGGTGGAAATGTCCCCCAGTTATTTGCAAGCTGTACAGAATTTAGAGAACAGAATCGGGAGAGACTTTTCTGCTTTCTATTCTATTCTGCGGTGCTGGTGAGGCACAATAATGGCAGTGATGATCAGATCTTTCAGTGAACCTGTTACAGTTGATGGCAATGATGCTACTGCTGCACTATGTGAAATCAATTCAGTTTGCTCTTCTGTGGGTTGCCCATTGGCCTCTTTAAATTATGAGGGGAACAGCCATTAACACTGTTTGGAACGTTTTTTAATCCGTCATGGCAGATCTTTTTGGAGGAGTGTATTTACAGGGCCTCATTTTTTTACTTTTAGCCCAGTCACTGAGGATGCTACAATGAGAACTAAATGTTTACTCACCACTGAACTCTAGAAGAAGGAGTTTCTGCACGTCCCACCTTGTAAAAACTCAAATCTTCTGACATATCTCCAAGGGATCCTTCCAAAAGACTTGCTTGGGATCAGACTCTTGCTGAATGGGAGTCAAGCAGCCAGCTGGTTTGCTCGGATCCAGGAAGAGACTTCTACATTTATTGCAGTCTAACTGGAATTACAGTCTAAACCGGGATATCAAACCACATGCATGTTTGATCTTCTCCCTCAGGAGAAGTGAGATACCACACTGGAGCTCTAGTTCTGAACGTGAGGAACAGGATCTAGTTGTGTTCCACCCACACTAGGTTTAGTCTTTCTTACCCTGTGCTGCCTCTCAAGGGTTAGAGGAAAGCGTTCGCGGTGATGTTAGTTTAGCTCTGTAGTGTTTGCGCAGGGTGTCCCTGACCTCTGTAGACGAATAGAGCAGAGATTAGGCGAACTTGTAGGGCCACCTTGTGGCCATGCGGTGCACGGTGTCTCACAGTAGCGATGACGGTTTCCTACAGCCGAGGACATTTTCTTGTGTGTGATAGTCCCTCTCCTTCCTTTGTTTTACCAACACATACTCTCCTTTTTGGCCTTAAGCCCCTTAATAATCGTTGCACCTCTTGTTACTGTACCTGGAAAGAATGAAAATCTGGTTCATCAGTGACCAGCTACGCTGACTGGATTTGAGCGGCTCATTGCAACCTGGAAACGGAAAAATTAACCTGCCAAACAGCTTATAGCATTAGCAGACTACAGGAGAGGTCCCACATTTTGACACTGATTATTTCATTTCCTGCATGACTCAAATATATTCATTTTAGGCTAGAGAGATAAATGTTTTAAATGCTGAAGCAGTGAAGGTTTGAGTACAGCTTACTTCAGGAACTGCTTATTGGTTAGTTATGTTGTCATATAGGACTAGGAAGGAAAATAATTTTCTTGTTTCTGTTCATACTGTTTCTGGGTGTTGTTTCCAGATGCTGTACTTTGGGAATACTTAACAGGTATGTTAGCAGCATGAGGGTAAAACTTCATCAGTTCCTAACACTACCTTGAATCCTGTTCCAACTGTCATGTAATAGTTGTCTGTGAAACAGAGAATAGGAAGAATAAGGTACAAACAGGAAAAAAAGACGAAAAGTTCCTGTAAGCAGTTCACTTCTTTATAGAAGGAAGGTAGGAGCACCTGCGAGAGCACGCACCACAGAGCTGGTGAAGACCTTTTGGTGCTCGGATGAAGTACAGGATGCAGTATGTACAGTTTGAAGAGATCATGTGAGTCTTGGGCAGCAGGATCCTCACGTGGAGGTGAGCATATGGACCTTGTGGGATACAGCCTGTGAAAAAGGTCAATGCCGAGTCAGAGGCAGGAGAAGTATAGAAGCCTGGTGATGAACTCCACGTCTCCTACCAGGGAGGCACAGATGAAACAACTGGGATCTGTCTTTCTTAAGAAGAGGCTTGTACACATGACTGGGGTTGGAGGATGTTTTCTGCCTAGAGTTGCTGTTTATAAATCTTTGTATACATGTGGTTCTTAGAAACAATTTTAAATGTGACAGTTGGTTCTGAAACCTGTATGCACAACTTGGTTTCTGCACACCAGCTGCGTGCACGTCTCTCGGTGCAGACAAAGATTTGGACCAAATCACTGTGGGTTGTGCAAGTAAGCTGGTGCAGGGCTAGGCTGCTTCTTTCTGACTAGGTCGATCTTACTGCTGCTGTTTGCATGATACTGAATGAGTGTGTTGAGGAAGAACCCACGTGGCATGTACATGGCCCACTGCCACTGCTCAAAACCCCGGAGGCCTTAACAGAGAAACATACAAACCGTGGGGAGCTCTTAGGGTTGACGTACCAGAGTGACTCTGCAGACAATAATTTGCAGCCTTTGCTTCAAGAACCAAGAGTCAAAATTGGTGGCAGGTGCTTCGGGTCCCTGCTCCAGCCAGCGCCTAAAGCCTTGTGTGGGCAGGTTCCCCACTCCCCTCACTGCCAGCCAGAGGGGAGATGCTGTTCTGGACCAGGTGGAGTGTTCCTGTTCCCCAGCCGGTCAGCTCTGTTGTCGTTCCTTCCAGTTGAGTTTGGGGGTTTTTTAATATGTTTAAGTCTGAGCCTTACTGCATATTAAAATGTAGAAGGTTCCTGATTCAAATATCTTAGTCTGGATTAACGATACAGTTGCCAGCAAAGTTCCTGCAGGAAAAGGGAAGCTATGGCTGCAACAGACTGCTTCCTGCACAAAGCCAGGACTGTGTGGGGAAACTTGGCACTTGCTAGTGATCTGTTTGCTCAGCAGCTGAGCTGGCATTCGCCAGCTACATGTGTTGGTTTTGTAAACAGACAGAATGCAGAAGCATTTTCTTTAAGGCATGTTTGATATTTCACTCTTCCCATTGGGTTCAGGAGCTCTGTGAACTGTTAGCGTCAATCCCTCCCAAAAGTAGAATAACAGAAATTTACAGTTTTATTGCATTGTGTGTTGAATACCATCTTTAGAATCCTCCCGAGCAATCACATCCAGCAAATAACCTGTGTGGTGAGTGTGTCCCCCTAAATCTAAATAGTTCAAAGCAGCCAGCTGTTATTTTGGCACGGCCGGAGTGGTGGTGGTCGGAAGGAAATGTCGTATCTACGCACATGTGCAGACACAGGAAAATGTCAAAGGGGCAAGGCTTTCCTCAAGTTTCAGATGACTAATACTTGGAACATTTTAAAATTTTAAATTTTCAACTGTTAAACTGGGGACTTGTGATTTTTATTAGATTTGGGGCTGCAAACCCAAGTCTTTCCAGTGATATCTGATACTTTGAGAAAAATATTCACTCCATTTAATTCAATGTAACTTGTTCAGCTATTCCAAATCATTGTTTGTACAGAGAGCCTGGCGAGACTGAGGCGCCACAGTTCTGTGATCTGAGCAGATACAGCTGGGTGCCTGAACAGCCTGTAGTTTGGCATCACTGTTTTGCTTTAAAACTACAGGTATTGTGTTCTGTCATGACTGACCAACAGGTAACGTAGCATTATTCATCACCTGCATTCTCTCAGACACAGATAAGTATAAGAGTTCCTATGGTCAATGTCATAAAGTATTAATTAATGCCCATGTGATACTGAGAAAAAGGGATTTTCTCACCATTGGTATACTGTTGATTGGCTGTAAGGTCCAATCATCCTCCAAAAGTTTATTTCCTGGTATTAATTTAAAGACATTTATAAATTAAACTTTTGTGTAAATCTTGTGTTGGGATGTTGGCGGGTCTGCCAACCACTTAAAAGCTGTAGGAGTTGACAGGAGTGAGTAACTGCATGTTTTGTTGCAGTCATTTGGAAAAAGGCAGCTCCCTGGCTTAAAAAAAAAAAAATTCAGGTTTTTTTTTCTAACAAAGTGATCCCCTGTTGACTTACTAATGCCTGTCCCAGCCTGTCCTCATTAACTGTCCTTGGACCCTTCTGCTGTGTGTGCGTGTGATGCTGAAATAGAGGCTTTTTTTTAACTCTATAATTAAAAAATGGTAACTTGAACTAAAAACTAAGTGCTTGGAGCTAAAAGTAAAAGCGATTGTACTCTAGTCACACTCCGTAAGTAATTGGAGGAAAAGATTTTATAGAAATCTTAACATTTATAATAACAAAAAAAACCCCAAACCACTCCATATCTCAAACTGGTTAATCTTAAGGAGATGCTGCATCTTAGAACTGTTTGTCTTACCCATTGAGTCTGACAGGAATAGACCAGAGAGTCTGCATGTGCCGAGTACATTGTGGTGGTCTTACAAGCTTTTGCAATAGGAATTAAAATGTGGGAGTTCAGGCCCTCTTGCACTTGAATTAAGGGAATCTCTTCTTTACTTCAGTGGTAGTAGTGTTTGATATTAGGTAAGTCATATGACATAAAATTAAAATAACTACTTAACCTGGTAGTCAGTCATGGCTAATGAATTAGCTTGAATTTATTAAATTTCAAACTTAAATTCCATATATACTTTGTCAAAGAGAGACAACAGTGTAAAAGCTACGTTTTGTACAATTTTTTGGACCCATCTTTGGCAAGAAAATTTCCAGGACTAGAAGAGGAGCTCAGCTGAACAGTCCAGTTACGTTTGAGTCTCCTTCTACAAACTTTTCAGCCCTTGCCTGTTATCCCTTTGTCTGTACCTTGCTTATTCTTGTTTCTTGAAGCAAAGATGTACTGTTGAGATCAGCATGCCCTTCACAGACAGCACTGGGTATATTTTTCACATTATGAACACACTCTGGTACAACCCAAATCTTCGACAGGTTAAGTGTTAGCAGCTCTATTTCACAGCCAGCTAGCATTTAAAGCTCTTATCTGGGCACGTAGAGTGTATGTTAGTCTAGAAAGTTGTAGTAAAATTATATAGCTGTTAGACACAGTAACATCACAGCTTCCAAATGCAGCTGGACAATCATAACTTTTATACCAAAAAATAAACATAATCCATGCTAATGGCCTTTCAGTGATGCAGGTGTAGCCCGTGTGTGTTTTGTCTGAGTGTTCGCAACGTAGACATCCATAGAGAGCCCTCCCACCACGCTTGGATGGATGCCAAGTTCCTGGGACAGTGTTAGGTGCTGCACTGGCTTGTCACAGTGCTCAGGAGGAAGATCCAAGCGGTCGCATGGCCTGTTGAGAGCCGGGATCTGTCACTCAGCATTGTGTGCGGTTGCACCTGCTGGAATCGAGCAGTGGGTGCTCGCCCTGCAGTGGTGTGGGACCCTAGGCAGCAGGGAGCCACAAGGTTCTCCTGCAAAATTCACCTCCTTTTACTGTTTGACTTGAGCACTCTGCTTCATAAACACACACACACTCCCCTAGCTATAACTGGACAAACTTATTTTTGAAGTATGTAAGAATATTTTTTTAGTTGGTTTTTTTTTGTTAAAGCCACACTAACTACTGTATTTTTACCTTTTATATGTAAAGCTTGGTAATAGCTCTCAATGAATAATTTATTTGTCGTTTTTTTATAAAACAAAGTGACA